AAGTGCTCTGTGAACACAAATTAGTTAGCATTAATCAGTTAAATGACGAAAAATTAGGTGTCTATTTACTTGTGACCACTCAGTGTACAATCCGCCATTTTTAACCGGACCCATCCCTAAATGTGGTTCGCTACCACACTCCCTGATATTTTAACATTAATAACTGATATTGGTTTGCTCATTTCAAAATACCTTGGATTAGCGCCATCTACTGGTTTAATAATAAAAGAATTAGACAAATTCGGTAACTAGCTGTTTTATGCAATGTATTTGATCAAGGTTCCAGTTGACACATTCAAATGGTTTGTATACGTTAAAATTCTTCATTTGAATGTTAGGTTGTAGGCAAACTTTAAAGATAAAGTAAGAGTTGTTAACTCTTGTAGACAAATATTCAAGATAACACAACACTTCTTGAGATTCATACTGTTATTAATTTCAATTTACCGCCGAGTACGAGTTGCTAACTCTTGTAGACAAATATTTAACTCCAGGTGGTTAAGAAATCAAGGTCACTTACTAACTTCAGAGTAGCTTGGGTTACCAACCAAATCAACCAACTCCACTGAGGAACAAAGAAGGTCAGGATAACTTGCTGGCTTTACACATCGGTTTGTTTGTTTCTTTGTTGAATTTCGCTTAAAGCTACTCGATGGCTATCTACCCTAGCAGTCCGTAATTTTGAAGTCATAGACCAAAGGGAAGGCAGATAATCAACACCATCCACCGCCAACTCATGGGCTACTATTTACATAACGAATATTTGGGTTGACCATCACATTACAACGCCCCCACGAGCATGTCCTGTGATTGGATTCGAACTCGCAATGAGCAGATTGCAAATGGAGTGCCCTAATCACCAGGCCATGCCAGGCCCACATCGATATGTGAAACAAGGTTGCAGGAAACATACAAATGGCGAAAGAAATTTATCAATTCATCACAAAAAAAAAACATAAGATAAAAAATTGGAAAATGAAATCAGCCAGATATAATACTTTATTTTTCTAATGAAAATATTATAGTCTCTGAGTTTATCGTTGTTCTTAACCTTCTGTGATGCAAAAATAAAAGAGCGGAGTAAGTAAACTTGTACTATGTTGACTCTATAGGAACGTTAGAGTTTGTTTTGTTAAACGCAAAGCTACACAATGAGATGGGCCCCGGCATGGCCAGGTGGATAAGGCGCTCGACTCGCAATCTGAGGGTCGCGGGTTCGAATCCCCGTCCCACCAAACATGCTCGCCCTTTCAGCCGTGGGGGCGTTATAATGTTACGGTCAATCCTACTATTCGTTGGTAAAAGATTAGCCCAAGAGTTGGCGGTGGGTGGTGATGACTAGTTGCCTTCCCTCTAGTCTTACACTACTAAATTAGGGACGGCTAGCGCAGATAGCCCTCGTGTAGCTTTGCGCGAAATTCAAAAACAAAACACAATGAGTTATTAATGTCCACCACGGGTAGCAAAACCCGTTCTTTTCGGCATCGTATAGACCCGGGAGGGTCAGGCTCATTTGACCTTTTCCTTCCCCCAGCTCTTGGTGAATGATTCCTGTTTAATATTATTATAATTACTGCGAGAGGATCAGAGCTTAGCAAAACCCTGTTTATAGCGTTATAAGCTTTCGGGCTTACCGCTGAGCTACTGGGGGTCGTGATGTATGAGCTCAGATCAGTGAACGAACATATTTCAAGTCATTCTTTAACGACGCTCCTTTTTTTAAACCAATAATAACATATAAAAAACTCTTTCTTTTTAAAATAAAAAAGAAGGAAGGACCAAAAATAAACTTTTATTTTCATCCCATTTGTAACTTAATGTACAATTATGTTTGATACCTTTTCGAGTGCTATAGTTCAAATAATTTCGAACATTACCATTGTAAAATATAAAACTTTACTGTTTTGTAGTTATTGTTTGTGGGGACGAAGTGATCTGTCTTTTTCATGATGCTTTTCTTCTGAAATTAACTTATCCAATCCATGTTACTTACATGTTTGTTTGTTGTTTTTGTAGTTAAGCACAAAGCTACATAATGGGTTATTTGTGCTGCGCTTACTACGGGTATCGAAATCGGGTTTCTAGCAGTAGAAATATGCAAACACACCGCTAGTCCACTTGGGGAGTGGGGGAGGGGCTACTTAGATATATATTTAAATATTATTCACGACGTTATGGATCGATTGTTTGTTTTGAATTTCGCGCAAAGCTACACGAGGGCTATCTGCGCTAGCCGTCCCTAATTTAGCAGTGTAAGACTAGAGGGAAGGCAGCTAGTCATCACCACCCACCGCCAACTCCTGGGCTACTCTTTTACAAACGAATAGTGGGATTGACCGTCAGATTATAACGCTCTCACGGCTGAAAGGGCGAACATGATTGGTGTGACGGGGATTCGAACCCGTGACCCTCAGATTGCGAGTCTAGCGCCCTAACCACCTGGCGATGCCGGGCCACGTTATGGATCGAACTATCAATTTAGAAACAGAGACACTAAAACAGAACATCTGTTAAAAAGTTATCAGCGATCAAATATTGAAAACATTTGTTTGTTAACAACAATTTCTGCAGCAAATTTTGTAAGTATGTTCATTTTCATTTCCTCTGATAAATACAAGTTGAAAATATTTTCCAACACACAAAAAAAATATTATTCTACGCAATTTGACATATCCAGGCAATTTAAATCAGCGTACAATAACAGCATGAATTTGAGAACGTAATAGGTAAGCAGATAATAAATTTTATGTGTTTAAAAAGCTTTTCTACGTTTTAAGGAAAAAAGAAAGGAAGTCGAGAGAAGATATATGTTTTTCACAAATTATTTGAAGGTCTACCTTTCTATGTTTCGAAAATGTAATGTATTAAAATCAAACCTTCACCGCTGTTGTAAACAGAACTTATGAAAACTTAATAAATTTTTTTAATGCACTCTCCGAAATATCTACATCGTTTACTTAACTTTATGCAAAGTCTAGTTGCAATAAAAAGAGGCTTTATTACTTTGTAGATTAATGAACATTCAGTAACATATTGGCCCCCCCCCCAGTGGTACTTACAACGCTAGAAACCGGTTTTCGATACCCGTGGTGGGCAGAGCACAGATAGCCCATTGTGTAACTTTGTGCTTAAATACAAACAAACAATAAAACATTTAATTGTACAAGTGCGACTAGAATCTATAAACATTATTTGGGTGTTTAAAACCTTCAAAGAAAAACAGTTTGGAAAAGTTGCTTTAAGAATTTTGAACGTTGTCATAGTAGTAGAATATAATTGTAGATTCTGTGGTCTTGACAACAGTCTAGTTTGATCATTTGAAATACTATAGTGAACTCACTAGGAATTGGAGGACAGTGATTAAATTGTGGGATTTAACAGTCTACTTGAACAGGTTACAGTTGAAAATGACGTTTTGCTAAATTTATGATTTCTTTAAGATCAAATTAAAGTATGCAAACGTTTTGAAATGTACAACCTTGCTTTAAAATATTAAATAATACACGACTTTTTCACGCTCTCTTGTGTTCGCTTCGAAACTGCCAGGCCTGCATATCTTTAAAAGTGCATTCAGTAGAAGTGGTATTAGGGCGAACTAAATCTCCTAAACTGGCTAAACTTCGTGAGATGTTTTTTGGATTATGGCCTAAGATATTGCCAATGACGAGGTTACTTAACTTATGATTCGATACGTTTTATGCCATTGCATACTCCTAGTTGGACCGGTAAATCAAATCAGTGATATTAATTACTGACTAAATTTCTAGTTCTGATCTATATGTAGCTTGTTTTGATCAAAATGTGTTGATAATTTCATTTTAATTGAAGATAAAACACTTATAAGAATTTTCAAAAAATAAAAGCAACAATATTAAACAGGTAATAATATATTTGAATAGTATGTTTAAAAGAGTAGTTAAAAGCTTATAACAAAAGATATGGTTGTGTATATCTAGTTGTCAAATGACACAAAAATTTGCATCATAAATCCAGTTTTTTGTTAAGTCTAAAATAAGAAATAGACCTTAATAAATAAACTCAGTATTCCGAAAATGATTCAATCTCGAAGTCTAAGTTCAAGGGAGGTCCAGTTCAATTTACACTTTGATCAACATGTGTTATTGGGCTATACTAGTTTCGGAGAATTCCGCTCATCATCAGTAACCCTGAACACAAGTTAACCAAAGAGAGATATGCTGGACCTATATCATAGTGAAAAGTATCAAATATATTGCTGGTGTGAACGTGATTTATAGTCACTATTGTACCACTATATAATGTGAAGAACTTAACAGTGGCCAATGACACTTTTTCTTCACTTCACCTATCCAGTGTATAGATTTTTCTCATAGTGACTATGAAGCATGTTCATACCAGCAATATATTTGATACTTTTCACTATGATATAGGTCCAGCATATCTCTCTTTGGTTAACTTGTGTTCAGGGTTACTGATGATGAGTGGAATTCTCCGAAATTAGTATAACTCAATAACATACTGTTGCGTCATCGAGATCACATGACTACAGTGACGCCACGTTTCTAGAACTATCCCGTATCTTGGTGAATGCTCTAGTATTTGCTAGATATAGGGTAGTTTGGTATATATAAGAGGGGACAACGTGACGCGAGATGATTAATGTAATGTCTGTGTAGATAGTGAGTAACTGATCTGCGGTCAGAAGTATTATTGATGTTCGTTGTTATAGCGTTTGTTTAGCGCGATTGTTGAAGTTGAGTGTATCGGTAAAGTTATATTCGGAAAGAATAAACCAGTTTTATTAAGTAAAGACTTGTGTCGTTAAAGTTTCGTTGGAACGAAGTTACGGAAAGTTAATTAACAAACGGAGACGTAACAATACGTTGGTCAAAGTGTAAATTGAACTGGACCTCCCTTGAACTTAGACTTCGAGATTAAACAATTTTCTGAATTCTAAGTTCATTTATTATACTTGTTATTATGCGGCTATATAATGTGAAGATCTGAATTGTGGTCAATGACACTTTTTCTTTACTTCACCTATCCAGTGAATAGGTTTTTGTCATAGTGACTATAAAGCATGTTCACACCAACAATATGTTTGCAAAAACAGAACTTGTCCATTCGACTTGATTTAATGAATGACGTATCATACGTGTGAGAGGATTAACCACCATTGAAACGCTTGAGTAACTATATCTGTGAGTAGAAAATATAAGATGAAATTATATGTAAAAGTAATGGTGAAAATAATGTGAAACTAAAGGGTTGCAATAAATGAAGTATTTTAACTTTGGATAGGTGGGGCTAGAAGACTAGATGCGTTTTTTAAATTTACTTAAAACTTCAAATAATACGATAATATATTTTCATAGATCTTTTTATTTACGAAGAAACATTACAGTTCTTATTATCAACACAAGATGGCAATAAAGTGCACGTAGAATATAACAACACAAAACATTTTGGGTTAAAGCAAATGTATTAGATTTTTTTTACATTTGTAACATAAGAAAGATTTTTCATAACTTCCTATCTTATTTATGTTTATCAGGTTTTCGAGTTAAAAGTTGACATTAATTTTACAATATAATTGAATGAAAGTAATTTTCTCTATCATAGTGACACCTAGAAAAGAATAGATAAATAGTTTATTCGTGTGGGGTCTGGTAAATGGCCGTAAAACGTTTGATACTTTTGTGTTTTCGTAGTGTGGTGTGTGTATGAAATGGCACATTTTCCACCCAATTTTTATATCTCAGAGCATAGAAACATTTAGCTGCTGTGTATGTGATATTATTTGATTTAAAGTTCTTGTTTTTTTATTAGTGTAACGCAAAACTTGACTTCGTCTAATTTAGACTCGCGTTCCGAATGGAATCTACACATCCTACGTAAATGCTAAAGAAACTTAAGCCTTTTTAGTCTAGTCGGCCTACGGCTACGACTCGAGCTGTGGCCCTTATTTAACCAAGTACAGTTGGGTTTGGAAGTTACCGGTACTTTTTTTTATTTACTAATAATGAATATTTCATTATATTTTATTCGAAAATTGTATTATTTATATATCGTATGGAATTTGTTAAACCTAATATTAATAACGTAATATTAGAGAATACAATGCCATTGATGTTAACTTCAATTTATAGTATATTACTATTAGTATTAAGTATTAGTGCTACTAATAGTAATACTAATAGTATTGATACAAATTACTACGGCATAGTATGGATTATGAGTATGATTTACTCTACTTAGGTTTTAAATTAAAACAAATCTTGTAAAGAAGTTGTCTAACAACTGCTATTGCTTCTTCTTGTGCAACTTAAGCTGTCTGAAAAACTACATTTAAATTTGTTAAACATTAAACAGTGATTAAATTTGCCTAAATATAAATTATGCAGCAAAAAAGATAATTATTGAATGTTTTAATTTTTAAAAACCTAGGTACTGAGGGATGATGAAAAAATGTTGGTTCAATTAATCTGCTTTGTATCTTTGTAATAATAGGTTCTAAGGAAAATTCTGATATTGTTGATAATTATAGATCTTTTATTTTATAATTGTCCTAAATTTAGATGTCCACTTTTCATTTTCCAAGGATAACAGGAGGCTGTCCAATTCTCTACTACCATCCTACTCTTAAGTTAGACTCTTAAGTAAAAACAGAGAAACCTCTTTTCTTAAACTTAACCCTGATATCTAGAACACTCATCTGATCTTCTCTTAAGTTTAAATTAAGTTTTCTTTTTCCTGTCTGTCTGTAATTTTGATTGAATAATAAAGGCTTATATTTCTTTAAAGTTTCACAAGGATCTGTTTTGGAATCTTTTTCTCACTAAACATATTAGATAACTTTGCAAAATCATTTATATCCAGTTTTGCAGGAGAGGGGACAGTTTGTGTGTTTTTAATTCAATTGAATTACTCAGACGTGTTTTTGAGATGTCTGAGACATAAACACTACAACAGCAAGCTTTAACCATGTCAATTTTATAAAATTATTTTTCTTGAGATTAAAAAAAAGAGCTTGAAAAAATATGAGAAACATTGGTATAATTGAGAAGGAAAATTACTTAAATATTAAAATTGGTAAACATGTGTAGGTGAGGTGCAAAAGGGAAATATAATTATTACCTACCAAATTATTGTTGAGTGAAGAATATGGTATTGTTTTATAATTATTTTCATTTGTTTAATGTGTTTAGAATTGATTAAGATAATAAATTTTCTGCTTAAAGAATACTTATTGCTAGAATAGTTCTTGGTATAAAATATTTTTTTCTGCAAAATGATGCTGGGACAGATAATTACTTTTAGACCAATAGTTTGATTTTGTAGTAGCCAACTATACTTGACAAGAAAGCTGTTTAAAGTAGGTTTGTATAGTAATTTTCTGTAGAAAATAGCATATTTTGATTTATAAGGCCTGTTTGAAACACAAATAAAACAAACATGCATTGTTGTACATAACTTAAAATTAGGAAAAAAGACAATTTGTTCCTCTAAGAGTGTCTTTGCATACTTACTCTTTAGTGTCCTTGCATACTTACTCCTGAGTGACCTTGCATACTTACTCCTGAGTGACCTTGCATACTTACTCCTGAGTGTCCTTGCATACTTACTCTTGAGAGAAGTAAAAATATTTGTAAACCCACCCTTTATATTTCGAGTATTCATTGATTGTTTTCTTAATTCATAAGATGCTAGTTTTCATTACTACTAATAGTACTCTTTTATATTCATCAGTTCTCCTCCTAAACTTCTGTAAAGTGCAGGTATCCTCTGCTGCTGATAGTACTCTTTTGTATTCATCAGTTCTCCTCCTAAACTTCTGTAAAGTGCAGGTATCCTCTGCTGCTGATAGTACTCTTTTCCTTACAGAAGTTTAGGAGGATAACTGATGAATGTAAAATAGTACTGTCAGCAGCAGAGGACACCTGCACTTTACGGAAATTTAGGAGGAGAACTGATGAATACATTCATCAGTTCTCCTCCTAAACTTCTGTAAGGTGCAGGTATCCTCTGCTGCTGATAGTACTCTTTTGTATTCATCAGTTCTCATAAACTCCCATAAGGTGCAGGTATCCTCTGCTGCTGATAGTACTCTTTTGTGTTCATCAGTTCTCCTCCTAAACTTCCGTAAGGTGCAGGTATCCTCTGGTGCTGATAGTACTCTTTCCATAAGCTAATCACTCTGTTAGAAAAACAACAGGGAATCTTCAATAGTCATGGCATTTGAAATTCTTTTAGGCAGAGTTGGAGTAAATAAATTTATGAGACCTTTTTTTTCCTTTTTATTAATTATATTTTTTGTGTGCCAGCAATACAAAGCATGGGATGTATGTATACCCGATTCAATTTTTTTACTCATCATGATTTCTACAAGTCTACCCTCGCATTGAAATTCTTTTAGGCAGGTTTAGAGTAAATTCATTTATGAGACCATGGGTGTGGTCAAATATATCAATCGAAAGGGTTTCACCTCCTGAGTCCAAAACTGTAATTAGATCTCAAATCAGTCAAGAGATGACTGAGCTCCGAGCTAAAAGTCTGTACTTTAGAAAAAACTCGGAGCCATTCTGTGAACTGCTATGCAATGGCTAATAAAACTGTCTTTAAGTGGAGACTAACCAGTCTTTTTCAAATCTTAAACTTGTGATCTCCCATCTTGTTACATTCAGGGTACAGCTCAAAGAAATCAAGTCTTTGATTCTAGGATTTCCTGAATAATCCTGTGAACTACATTAAAAATATTTTTAGCTTACCATTCTTTTTTTAAGAGAAAATTAGAGATCTTAACCTGACCTCATTAGATAATCCTTCCACCTCTAGAATCATCTTAATAACCTTCCTTTGAATCCTTTCCAATAAATCAGTTTTCTTTCTTAGATAAGGAAACTACAACTGTACACAGTACTCCAAGTGAGGCCTAACCAGTGATTGATATAGAGAGATAATTACCATTTTTGATTTTTATCAATGTTTATAAATACATCATAATGTTATGTTAACTTTACTGCTTGTAACAGAGCACTGCCTCAATGGCTTAAGAGACTTATCTACCATGATGTTAAGATTTTTTTTTGCAGTCGTAACATGACATGTGGACATCAAGGGACCTTTTTCTCGTTAAAGGCTATCCTTGTACATCCACCTTTGAGAAAAGTAAAAATTAAACTAATTCTTTACCTTACAGGTAATTATAAGTTACCTTGTTAAACTTCTGTTAAGTTCTGGCCTCTACTTTTGCTGATAACAACTCGTTCCATAAGTCAGCCATCCTTAGAAAGATAAACCTGTCTTAGCTTGTCTTTTACAAATCTTGCATCTCATAATCTTGTAAACTTCAATAACATCATCTTTTACACTTCTTTCAAAAAGAGAAAATAAGTAAAGAGATCTTAAACTAGCCTTCTAGGATAACCCATCCTTAGTCAATATTATTGGTTATATAAGGACATCAAAACCAAACATTTGACTTTTTAGGCTTTTCATATATTTTTTGCTGAGGAGAACTCCACACACTTTTACAAGTGAAGCCTAACTAGTGATTTTTTTAGATTTAATCACTTCTTTTGGCATGTAATCAGTATATCTGTAATATATTCTTAAACGCTATTGGCTTTACTATTAAAACAGAGTATAACTGGGTGACTAGCAGTATTTGCTAGCTGGACAGTCAATAGCCCCATTATTCAATTAGTACAGTGCTCTTCAAACCATAGTACCTACAAATTCCAAAATAAAAAAAAATAAGAAAGAAAGGTGGCAGTTGGTGCTACCAGCCAGTTGTTTTCCTTCTAATCAGCAGCTCAACAACAGAAAAACACCAACAATGGAAAAAAACAAAGCTGGCAGTGGGTGCTACCAGCCAGTTACCCTCCCTTTATTTAGTACTTCAAAATTTGATAGTGTCTTAGTAGTTTTTCCATAAAAAGACAGGGCAAGCAAGTTTGGTTGTAATATTTTAATTTATTGGATTGTTGAAATAATTGAAAACAGTAATATTTGAAAACAATAATTTTGATTATTTTATTGTTTTCATGGCAGTTGATATAATTGGAATTTGATTGTTTGAATACCGAAAAACAGTAATAATTAGAAACAAAAATAATTTTGATTAATTGATTAGTTTACAAGATATAAATAGATGCAATTGCTGCTCATAGATAATTGATTAAATCATTGAGCTCTGGAACAGAGCACTGTTTCGTGGTTTGAGTGACTTATTCTCCACTGTGCGAAGATCCTTTTCTTCAGTCATGTTACTAAGTGGGTTCCCATCTGTTTTGAGCATGCAATACAAATTTCCTTGTACTTATTATAATTATAGGTCATTTTTTAAATATTTTTCCCACTTACCAGTTGATTCAAGTTATTCTGTAATACCTCAACATCATAATTACAGCAAGAATTTTGTAAGAGTTTAATGTAATCAACAAACTTTACTAACTTACTAATTATGTCCATGTCAATATCATTAATTTAAATAAAAAACAAGCAAATGTCAAATACTGATCTCTGAGGCATATCACTAGTAATAAGGGTCATGTTTGACAAGATTCCGTTAATAAATTTCTTCTTTCTTTCACTCAGCCACCTTACAGTCCAGTCAACTAGTCTTCTTCGTAATTCCCACCAGTATGGTTTTCTGGTGGCACCTTATCAAAAGACTTATGAAAATCTAAGTACATCAAATCCACACCCTTTCATCATCCAGATAACATTCTCAAACAACATGTCAACAGCCTAGTAAGGCAATATTTTCCTTTAATGAATCCATGTTGGCACTAATTTATGATTTTGCAAGGCTTTTATTATCAGTCTCTCTAGGATTTTTCACACTGTAGAAGTAAGACTAAATGTTCCATAATTTTAAGCATTTCTTGTCACCTTGAAAAATAGGAGGAAGATTAGCAACTCTTTAAGTCTTCAGGTCCACTGTTTATTGAAACAGGTTTGCATATCTTATCTTTTAACTTCTTTAAAACTCTCT